CCTATCCCGGTCCCTGAGTCCCCATCTCCATGTCCCAGTTCCTGGGTCCCCAACCCCATGTTCCTATCCCCATCCCTGTGTCTCCATCTCCACAGCCCCATCGCAGTCCCTGTGTGCCCATCCTGACATCCCCATCCATGTCCCTGTGTCCCTATCTCTACATCCCCATCACAGTCCCTGCACCCCCTACCCCATGTCCCCATCCCCATATCCCCATTGCAGTCCCTGCATCCCCAGCCTGATGTCCCCATCCCTGTCCCCGTCCCTATGTCCCCCGACACATGTCCCCATCCCCACTGCAGTCCGTGCATGCCTGACCCCATGTCCCCATCCCCGTGTCCCCATCCCTGTCCCCATGCCCCCATCCCCACTGCAGTCCGTGCACCCCCATTCCCATGTCCCCCCCTCCGTCCCCGTGTCCCGCTCCGTGTCCCCGTGCCGGTGTCCGCATGCTGCGGTTGCAGCGGGGCGCCGGGCGCGGAGGACTGGCTGCTGCTGGAGCTGCAGGGCGAGGTGGAGCCGCGGCAGGGCCGGGCGCTGCCCGGCAGCCTCCTGGGCGACCTGCACTACACGCGGCAGGTGAGCGGCGCCGCCGGGGCCCCCCGCGCGCCCCCGGCCCCCGCCTGCGCCCTGCCACCCCCGCAGGGCGTCCCGGTGCTCGTCGTGGGCCACCACGTGCTCTACGGCAAGGTGGTGCCGCTGGAGAAGCCGCTGGCCGTGCTGGAGAAGCGCGGCGCCCGCTACGCCGTCACCGCCCTGCTGCACACCAAGCTGCTCTTCAAGACGCGCCCCAAGCCCATCGTCACCCACGTGCCCAGGAAGGTGTGAGCAGCCCTGCCGCGCGGACGGGCCCCACGGGGGCTGCCCCACGGACCAGCCCCACGAGGAGCTGCCCCATGGCCAGGCACACATGTGACAGCAGGGACACATTCAGCCTGACCTGCACAGCCCCCTTACACCAGCCCTGCTGAGTCCCCTGCTGTTGGGGACAAGCCAGGGACACAGCCCCCCACATTGACACCACCCCCCCCAGGCCATGGGGCTGCTCGGGGCAGTGATTCCCCCCACCACCAAACACAGGAGCCATCCTGCGCGCACRTCTTTATTGCGACAAACCCGGCGGCGTACAAAACCAGACCTTTAAAATACAAAAAAAACACAGGTTAAAAAATAAATAGTTTTACAAATAAATTGGCAATAAGTGTAAATACCAGAAGAGCTACAAAAAGTCTCCTAAATAAAAAAAACTTGTCTTAAATAAAAGAGTCCAGCTGCTTGCCCGTAGAAAGGCTCCGGCCCTGGAAAAGGGGCCCGGGGATGAGGTCGGGCCTGGGGTCCCCAGGGGCCGGGTCGGGAAGCRGCTCCCCCCGCACCCGGAGCTGCCTCCGTGGACCCTCCCCACACCTGGGGAGGCACCGTGGGACCCGGTGCCGATACCAGGGCTGGGTTCCCCCCACACCAGCGTGGGGCCCCCCAGGAAGGGTGACAGGGAGAGCAGCACCGTGCCGAGAGCTGCCGGCTGCTCCGGCCGTCCCTCCGGCCACAGGAACGGGCTGAGCCTGCAGCCACCCAGGCCGTAGCACCGTGGGGGGCCCTGCAAGAGCCCCCCGGAAAGCACCCAAGGACRGGGAGCATCCGCAGGGATGCGGCCGCGCTCCCGCTCCTGACGGAGAGGACGGAGAGAGGAGAGGAGGAAGAGGAGGGACAGCACAGCAGCAGCGGGACGGCGGGGAGCGCGGCGCCCGCGCTCACACCTCAGCGAAGGGCAGCCCGCACTGCTCCTGCCGCTTGCCGCAGCGCCGCGCCACGATGGCCAGGTAGAGCATGAGCAGGGCCACCCAGTAGCAGGCGTAGAGCACGGCGCCCGACACCAGGAAGGCCACCTCGGTGTCGCTCACCAGGTCCTGGCTGTAGGCGGTGTAGGCCAGCCCGCCCAGCAGCACCGCCACCCACACGGACACGGGCAGCAGCCCCACGAAGTTGACCACGATGGTGCGGCGCCCCGACGTGCCCCAGCCCGACTTGTTGATGGTGGCGATGGCGAACATCTTGGCGGGCAGCAGGCTGGACATGTAGAGCAGGGCGTAGAGCGACATGAAGATCATCTCGGCGCTGCCCCGCAGGAAGCAGGCGTAGGTGGCCTTGATGATGCCCACGAGCTGCACCGTGAGCAGGAACAGGAGGATGTTCCAGATGCGCCCGCGGTAGAAGAGCTGGATCACRGTGGCGATGAGGAAGAAAGGGAAGAAGCCGGTCACCACGGACTCGTAGGTCATCCAGAGGTGGTGCTTGTGGAACCAGAGCGCGTTGTAGAGCCACTCGCGGAAGTAGGACTTGCTCCAGCGGGTCTGCTGGTTGAGCCAGCGCAGGTAGCGGGTGGGCGTCTCCGTGAGGCACTTGGAGCGGGCCGTGTACTTGGTGCGGTAGCCCAGGCTGAGGACGCGGTTCGTGAGGTGCCGGTCGTCGCCGAAGCTGCACTTGGTGCCCAGGAAGGTCTGGTGGTACCAGTCCTCGAGGAAGTGCTGCAGCAGCGCGTTGCGGTACATGCCCAGCGGGCCGCTGATGCACTGCACGCAGCCGAAGTAGGACTGGCAGGCGCGCTCCACGTTGAAGGCCATCCAGTAGCGCACGCTGCTCAGGAAGGAGATCCACGAGTCGTACTTGTTCAGGATCTGCAGGCGCAGAAGGAGCCCATGAGAGGCGGTGCTGGTGCYGGCGCGGCCGCCAGGCCCCCCGCCGTACCTGCACGTCGCCACCCACGCCGCCCACGCCGGGGTCGGCCTCCAGGATGCGGAGCATCTCGGCGGTGCAGGCGGGGTCCAGCACCGTGTCTGAGTCACACACCTGGGGGCGCAGGG